GCCTAGAGACTGAGTCACCTTTCCCGCCTCTGCCCATGAGTCCTCTTCTGGTCCGGGTCTGATGCGTGCCTTCCAGTTTTCAATGTTTAAACTTCTGTAGTTAAGACTTTACCTTTGTTTCTTTTTCCCTGGCCTTGGGCCGCCACAGGCCTGTTCCAGGATGTCACGTGACCTACCAAGGATCTAAAGAAGGGGTTTGAGAGGGATTTCTTGACATTAGGGCAGGGACTACACATTGGGCTATGAATGGCATTGAACAGGGGATCTATAATTTATAAAACATGAAGATCCATCTTCTCTGCATTCTTTGGGTATAAGACTGATTTATTTGGGGGGATCATGTGATCTGAGAATCCTCAAGTTTGAAGGACATTAATGTTTCATTGGCCAGCCTGTTTCCCTCTTAAATTTCCATGAAAATGGTATTCCCTCTACTTCTGTCTCCACTAAACTAGCTCTAATTATGACAACATTTCCATTAAGACAAACTTCAGCTCCCTGTAACTTTTTTTTTTAAAGATTTTATTAGGGAAGGGGAACTGTGTTTTTCCAGGACCCATGAGCTCCAAGTTAGGTAGTTGTTCCAATCTAGTTGTGGAGGGCACATCTCAGTCAAGTCGAGTAGTTGTTTTCATTCTAGTTGTGGAGGGTGCAGCTCAGCTTTAAGTCATCATTTTCAATTTAGTTGTGGGGTGGGGCGGGGCGGGGGGAGCCCACCATCCCATGCTGGAATCGAACCGGCAACCTTGTTGTTAAGAGCACGTGCTGTAACCAACTGAGCCATCTGGCCACCCTCCTGTAACTTTCATTTGAAGGCTCTAGTCCTGCTCTCAGGATGTCGCATCCAGAACTAGTCCCTCTGTGTGATGGTCTGCCCAGGACAGAAATGGGAGTATCTTACCTCCCTTGGTCTAGAAGTGGTATTTATATTTATGTGGGCCAATATTTCATTCACCTTATTTCCCCCTCCAAATTTGGACATCATTTCCAGTCTTGAGTCTGTCATCTTCTCATTGGCTATTCCTCTAATCACAAAGCCAGAGGCTGATATATTCTGAAGCTGTATTGTTGGGTGTATTTATGTATATAATGGAGTTCTCTTCTTGCCTTATTGCCTCTTTTACTGGTATATAGTGCCCTTCTTTGTCCCTTGAATTATATTGTCAGATATGAAAATTGCTACCCTGTTATTATGTATTCACTATGTGTCAGGTCCTGAGCTAAGAATTTACACATATTGTCTTCCTTGTTGAATCTTCCCAACAACCCTATGAGGAAAATGAAGTCTAGAAAGACCAAGTAACTTGTCCAAAGTTACATTTTAGAGCCAGAATTCAAACCCAGAGCTGTGTTTGCTCGCAGACCTTGCTTCTAACCACTGTGGTAGAAGATCCCAGAATTTAGATTGCTCAGAAAAAAGATCCGTGCAGCCCCCAACAAAGCACTGCCTCTTAGGATGGAGCATTCAATTATGGCCAGTTTGGGTATGCTGGGAGGGCTGGGACGTGGAATTAGAACTGTTGCTGAAAGCAAGTCCAATCCTGGGGACAGACGGCAACTTCTGCAGAGTATGGAGGAGACCACAGGCAGATGGCCAGGAAAAAGTTGGGTTTGGAGACGACATGATGTGCCTGGCAATGGGGAACCAGGAACAGGAAAGACAGGTGGCTGGTGTCAGTGAGGGTTCTCACCCTCCTGGACTGAGGCTCCAAGAAAGGACGCCAGTCATTGTAGAGGACAGGGCTTACATGAACAAAGCACGCAGCATCTTCTTTCATTCTGCAGACCCTGATTCAGTAGCTCTGGGCTGAGAGTCTGTGATGCCAATGCCGCCTGTCTGTAGACCACAGTTTGAGTTGCAAAGTGCTTGACATGTCTACCTTCATGTACAGAGGCCTAGAAGTTCTAGAAGGTTTCAAGGATCTCAGGCATAGAGAATAAAACAAAATTCCAGTTATCAGAGCTGGATCCAAAAGCAGAAAAGGAAAAAGAATAAGGTAGAAACTCCACTGTGAAAACTTGCTCTGAAAAAAAAAAGTAGCAAGTCTTCTTAGGTCAACGCAGGGTCAGTGTAACAGCAGAGGCAACATGAAGTCAAATTTCATGGTGTTGAGTTAGGCCAGGGGCTCTGAAACTTTAGCCTGCATGAGAGCCACTGTGGAACTTGTTTTCAGAAATGAGGATTCCTAGGTCCCACCCCACCCAGAGACTCTGATTAGTTCAGCCTGGGCATTGGGACTTTTGAAAGCTCTCCAAGTGATACCCACTTCAGCAAATTTTGAGGCCCACTGTCCTAAACTAATTTGCTCCTCTGCCCTTTTGTCTCAGCTGCCTTGGAGCCCCCAGCCTTTGATCAATACCAATACTCTCCTCTCTGCTTACACTGCTCATTTGCAGGAAGAAATCCCCTCCGGGAAGGCATTAGTGGACGTCACCATTACTATGAGATGAGGGACCTCAGCTGGGCCCTCAACAAAGTCCCAAAGCCCCACTAGGTTTTCCTAGGGCACTCATTTCCCCAGTCTTTGCAATAGCGATCTCCAGCCTTCTCCACCTCTTTGTACTGGACCCAGGTGACAGGAACCTTAGATCTGCGGGGTGCACATCTGCCCACCCCACTGCCACCACGGCCTGTGCGTTGCTTCCCCGCCTCAGCCACCCTGGTGAAGGCTCACATAATTCCCAGCCCCTCTCCCCTCCACCCCACAGACCAAGGAGCCCCCCACTGCTGACTGAGGAAGCCATTTTGGATGCCCAGTCTTCAGGTGACTGCAGCCCCGAATGTCATCTCACTACATTCACAAGGGAGACCACCAGCAAGAACCACCCAGCTGAGCTCAGTCAACACACCGAACCATGAGAGATCATACACTGTTGTTTCAAGCCACCAGAGTAGGTGCCACCTAAAATAGTCCCCAGTGACCCCCCCCACCTCCTGGTATTCACACCCTTGCATTATCCCCACCCCTTCACTGTTGGATGGACCTATGATTTGTTTCTAAAAAAGGAACAGAGCAAAAGTGATGGGATGTCGCCTGTGAGATGAGGTGATTTCCGTTGTGCTCTCACTCTCACTGGTTCTTCTCACTTGCTCTCTCAGATGAAGCAAAGCTACCATGTCGTAAGCTGCCCTATGGAGAGCCCACATGGCAAGGAGCTGTGAGCGGCCTCTGGCCAACAGCCCGGGAGGCACCAGATCCCACCAACAACCCCGTGTGTGACCTTGGTGGCTGATGCTTCCCCGGTCAAGCCTTGAGAAAGCTTCAGCCCCAGCTGACACCTGATTGCAGCCTTTGAAAGAGCCTGAACCAAGGGACCCAGTTAGGCTGTGCCCAGATTTCCAACCCACAGAAACTGCGAGATAATAAGTGTTTTCAAGCCACAAAGCTCTGCAGCAATTTGTTATGTAGCAATAAATAACTAACACAGCTACTACATGTTAAGGTAGTATGTTAAGCAGCAATAAGTAATGGGAACAAATGCAATGATAAGACAGCCAAAACAACCAATTTATAGTGTCAGTAACTGCTGAGCAGAAGACTGTCCGTGCTACTGGTGTCACTAAGCTTGATAAACAAGACAAGGCATTTGAACCCATAAGAATTAGACCCTTGCTTCTAATGATCAGTTCTTAGGACTAAAGAAGACAATGAAAAGTCAGCTCCCACATTTGATGCTACAAGTGGGCAGAAAGGCGAAAGGCACTCTTCAGATGACGGGAGGGGCTTGTGGGGGGAGGCAGCACAGCGAGGGAATGGAGCCACTGATGGAAGAGGCGCAGTTCATGCTCTGCTTGTTGGAGAGAAGGTGAGTCAGCTGAAGATGGGAGTCCAGGGGCTGTCAAACCACAGCCCGGGAGATGTCGCTAACGTCAACTCTCATCAACTATGGTCATGCTTAAGGGAAGGTCAAGAATGAGATTTTCTTGCCTTGGAACAAAGAGTAGGTAATTAGAGTTGTTGTTACCGGATTCTTCTATAGTCTGTGCACTGGTTACATATAGGGCAATTTTCCTTTTAAAGAAATCTTCCATTTAGGGGTGTTGTGGGCCACATTTTGTGTTCACTGCATTCACAAGGGAGGCCTAAAGAAGTTAAGTGATTTTTTTCAGGGACTACTGGTAAGAACGCAGGATGGTAAAAACCTTCAGATTCATGTGTTGAAGTCCTAATCCCCACTATGGCTGTGTTTGGAGTAAGGAAGTAATTAAGGTTAAATGAGGTCATAGGGGTGGGCCCTGATCTGATCGGGTTAGTGTCTTTATGAGAAGACACATGCTCTCTCTCTGTTCCCTCATGCACACACCGAGGAAAGGCCACTGAGGACACAGCAGGAAGGCAGCTGCCTGCAAGCCAGGAAGAGAGCCCCCACTAGAAATTAAATTGAACAGAGCCTTGATCTGGACTTCTAGCCTCTAGGACTGAGAAAATAGATTTCTATTCTGTATGGTATTTTGTAATGCAGCCCAGCTGACTAAGACAATGAGTTAGGGAGAATTGGAATCAGCTGTTTCTGTTTCGTTGCTCTGTAACTCAGTGCCCAACTGGAGCATGAATACTCAGTGTTAGTCATTACCGATCATTATTATTATTATTCACAAGATAGGTGAGGAGATCATAAAGGTGTACCTACAAAATGCAAGGCAAATGTCACTTGTTAAGTTGGGAGGTGAGTTCAAGTCTCTTGGAACAGACAACTGATTTCCTAAGGTGCCGATGGGCCTCTGAGTTGTTGCTGTCAACTTTGAGAGAGGGCAGTGAATGGGGTCGGCAAACTCCAGACTGGTGGGCTTGATTCTGGTCCTATTTTGGAAGGGAATTATTTAAAAGGGTGGTTTGTTGGGTTTTAGAAAATGACATGAACATTAGGTAGGAGTAGGGGTTTTTCTAAGAATAGGTGGTATCAGACCAATCTAATTTGTGACATTTTGACTCTTTTTGAGATAAGAGAGGGTTTCAAATACATACACACTCACTTACCCATGGATTGAATTTCCCACTTAAAGGGGGTTATTTGGAAATACTGTGGACATAGTATAACTGGATTTTAGAAGGCTTTTAAATAAGAACAGAGTTAATAAATGTGGGTTGAGTGTCTCTGATTAAAGAGACTGTAACTGGTGCCCCCTTTGCAGCTGATCTCAGCTGGTCACCAAGTCCCAGTCACGTGCATGAATGCATGGGACACCAACATTGGAGGTTCCACATTGGGGTCAGGTCATCCTGGGTTTTTGGCAAATCACTTCACTTCTTTAGGCATCAGTTTCTTATCTGTAAAATGAGGATAATGACCATTGATAACTCATCAAGCTGTTATGAGGATTCATTGGTTCAGGCTTTGAGCTTTACAAGCACTCAGTAATTGCTAGTTTTTCTCGCTGGATAGGATGACCCTGAGTCTCCACTGAGCCTCCGTGGAGGCTGAATGGGCCGAAGCTGCCAAAATGAACTCATTCTTAGGCCAATACAGACCTCACCTGAAATGTGTTGCATTCTGAGTGTAAAGAGGAAGCTTGCCAAACAGAGGCATTCTCAGAGGAAGGAAGCTTGGAAGTGACCTGGAGGAATCTCATGGGAGGCATGGTTCACAGATCAGACAAGCGTTCTCGGAGCCTCGGGGTATGTTAGGCCCCTCTCCCTTCATCATACACTGTCACACACCCTTCTGTTTCCTTTTCCATCACCGATAATGTTGGAAGAAAAAATAAATGAGAAAAAGTGTGATCTAAGTAATGCTGGACAGCAGCTCAGGGGTTAGGACCAACAGGGAGAAGTTACCCGGAGGCAGTTTTGGTCTCAAAGATGTTAACTCTTTTAAAACCTGGGATCATATGAAAATAGCAGGGGTCTGTGGAGATGTCACAGGAGAGACCAGGCAGCTGGCATAGTCCTCGGAGCAAGTATTTCTGCACCAGATAAAAGCTGCTTCAGATGGGAGGTAAAAACTGACTGCCTCTGACCACATGCATACAGCAAATGTGTTTTGTTTAGTCCTCTAAGAGTCTAAAATATTTTTTTAATTAGTTTCCAACATTTTAGAACCAGAAGGTGTCACATGAAAAGTCACATGTAAAGTCCAGCTCTTTCAAAGTGCTGAGTGGCCGCTGCCCGAGATATGCTCACTGTTTGGTTCAGAGTACGCACCTCACCTGTGTGCTGTTACTCACCTGTCCCCGCGGGCAGCAGCGTTTGTGTTTCCAGGTCTTGTCGCCATGAAAAGCCCTTTCCCTCTGAATGTCTATGAAAAGGATTCGAGAAATAAGTTTTTGTTATGGTTCCTTTAAGAGTTGGGGTTTAGGATTCAGACTGCTAATGGAATTTCTTGTCATAATTATTCGCCTTGTTCAGGCTGCCGCTTTGCCTGCCACCCAACTCCCCTTCCCTCCCCTCCCCTCTGGGGATCAGCCCAAATGTCATGCCTTCTCTCTCCTACCTTCTCCTCTCCACCTGGCTGTAGGTGAGTTAGGCGCCCTTCCTCAGTGCCACGGTAGCAACCTGTGCTTGTGACACTTAGTTTTTTGTTTTGTTTTGTTTTGTTTTGTTTTAAAGATTTTATTGGGGAATTGAGGGAGGGGAACAGTGCTGGGGAATTGGGGGAAGGAGAACAGACAAGTTGCTGTCGTTTTGTTCTTCAGTCTAGTTCTGGAGGACGTTGCTTCACTGGCCCATGTTGGTATGATCATTGCGCTCTTCCCGGGTGAGGCAGATTGGTTGCCGGCCTTTGGACGGCCGCTCACAGTGCCTGTTGGCAGCTCACACCGGCTGCCGGCCACACACGGTAGCTTATAGCAGCGCACTGCAGCAGGGGCTGCAGCCTACGCCATCGTCCCCTGCGACTCAAGGCTGCCCAGCTCCAGGGCGAGCTGTTGTTCACCATCTTAGCTGTAGAGGGCGCAGTGTCACTGGCCTCATGTGGGATCCGAACCGGAGCCCTGCTGCTCAGAGCTGGCGTCCCAAGCCAGCTCTTAACCAACGCGCCACTCGGCCGGCCCTGTCACACTTAGTTTTGGTAACTTATTTTGCCTGTAAGTTTGCTGAGGGCAGGCCACTATGTCTTTTTCACGTTGGCATCTTCCCGCCAAACAAAGGTACATTAGGAAGGGAGCTGGAGTCTTTCATTTTTCTCATTCAGTTTGACTTTAAACCTTCCGCACTGTGGGGACAGGGGGCATTTCGACCAATGCTCCAAAGAGATCTTTGGAAATGTCCAAACCGTGGCTCTGCTCTGTTCTTGATTACAGCAACGTAGAACTGTGAGCCAAGGTCCTAAATCAAGAAGGTGCTTTGGGTCAGCTAATCTCATCCGGTGTAACAACTGCCACAGTGATCGTCCCTGACACTCACTCCTACTGCGCCTTAGCTGAACCAGGACTTGCAGCATCAGTTACCTTTTCAGCTGTGTGGGATGTGGGATCCATGCAGGCAACCTCCGTGGGTGACAGCGTTTGTCCTGGGGATGGAAACCCTGCCTCCTGTGGTCGCTGCAGCCTACAAAAGGTTTGCAGAAGGTGCCAGAAAAAGTCCTATCATCACACAGGGGCGTCAGAGTTTTGCCCTGGCTTTTCATCTCTTTGCGGTCAACAAACCTCTGGGAACATGTAAAGTTATAGATTGTCTCCCCAGAAAAATTCAGACACCCATAATATCTTCCAGACACTCATGGACCCCCTCTGCCCTTCCTTATGCCCCATTAAGATGTCCTGGAAGCGGGAGGGAGAGTGAGTTGCTGTGTTGTCCCCTCCGCTGAGGACAGGGAGTAGGAGCCAAGTCGTGCGTGCACGCCTTCACTCGTTCACTTGCAAACCCCTGGGGAGCCCTGGCTCAGGGCGGGCTCGGGGTCGGTGGACGCCCCTCGCGCGGCCTCCCACGGGGCCGGCAGGCGGCTGCGCGGACCCCGCCCCCGCGCGCCCCGCAGCCCGCGCCGCCCGCGCGCCTCCCCCGCCCCCGGGCCGTCCGGCCGCGCAGCCCCGGGCTCCACCCACCGCCGCGCGGGCCGCTTCCGCGCACGTGACCGCGGCCGCGCGTCGCGCTCTGACGAGTCCGCGGAGCCGGCTGCCCCCGGCCGCTGTCCGTCCGGCTGCGGCTGCGGCTGTCGTGCGACGCCGGGAGGGCGCAGGCGCGGGCCGGAGGCGAGGCCCGGGGCGCCGCGATGGAGCGGTGAGTGGCGCGGCGCGGGGGGCCCGGGCGCCCGGGCCCGGGGTCGGGGCTCCGACGTCCGGCCCCCAGGGGCCCTGCCGCGGGGTCCCCTGCCCACGTGGAGCTGCCGGGCGTCGTGGGGTGGGGTGCGGGGAGCTCGGCGCGGGGCCCCCGCCGGCCGTCGTGAGGAGTGCAGATGGGGTCGGGGTGCCGGGAGGGCCCCCGAGGAGCTCTGCGTCTGCCGGCGCTGGGGAGAGCCGGCCACCCCGTTCCTTCCCCGGGCGGCCCGCGCGGGGGGCTGAGGAGCGGCCTGTGCCTCCCGGGGCCCCCCCCCCTGCCGGCAGTGGCCCCCTCATCCCCTCTCCATGGAAGCGCCCGAGCCCGGTGCAGCGCGGTGCTTTCCCGGGGCTCTCTGATGCCGGCACGTCGGGAGCCTGCCTCACGCTCTTTCCATCCCCGGGATGCCGAGTCGTAGGAGTTCTACAGTCGCGTGACTTGGGGTCTCAGTACTTCCGTGAAGTCCAGGGGTTTTAATGAGGACAGACCGGTCCAGGGCCCCAAAGACGCCGTCCCTGCAGCCTGCTTTGTTCCAGCAGCCACCTGGGTGTCCCCCATGGGGCATCCGGAAGAGGAGGAGAGTGAATGAAAGAGAACATGGGCACCCGAGTTGCAGAAAGTCACGCAGGAGAGGAGTGCCCAAGCCCGCTGCGTGGAGCAGCGTCTGTGACGGGAGATGTGGAGGCCAGGTCCCCACAACCCAGGTCAGCCTGAGGACAGGACTGTTTCTCTGCGTACGTGGGTGCTAGAGGCCGGAAAGGCTTGATTGGACCTCTGCCGATTTCTCTGACTGTGGACATAGAAAAGTAAGATCCAAGCTGATGCCCAAATGCAACCACACGTGATGGGAGGGAAGACGTTTCTCCTGCTTCCTCAGAAGTTTCGGACTTGAGCGCAGCATAGGACACCAGGCCAGTCTCCAGTGTCGGCCCTCCACGGATGTTTGAAAGGCCTTTGATGACACCCCAGGTGGAGGCAGGTTAGCTGTACTGCCTCTGCACCACTTTAGGGGGCGCCACTCATTTGTGGCATGTGTGACTAGCACCACTCGGATTACCTACCGCAGGGAGGGCGCCTCCTGGAGTGACCGCCATCAGCATGTTGTAGGAAGGCCACCCAGCAGCCCTGGGCGGTAATAACCTTTTCATAGGATGCAGAGAGGCAGACTTGGACGTGGTGTGGGCGTTCGCCAGGACTGCGGTCCCACCTCCTGCTGGAGTCCCCTGCTGTCTGTTAGGTGACAGGGACTTAGTGGGAGTCTGTCCTGCAGTGGAGCAGTCGTCAGCGTGGCTGCTCCTGGAAGCTGGGCCTCAGGCTCTGTTGAGCAAGGGTCTGGGTGATGGGATGTGGTCATCTGGAGGTCAGCCAGCCACCACTGTCCAGCATTCGGAATGGCTCGGGCCTGGGAATCGGAAAAAGGCTCAGGCAGAGAATAAAAAGCCTAGGAGGAAACAAGCCTGAAAATCCAAAGTGTGTACCTCACTTAGGTGCCTGGTGGGGTCAGAGTGCTCTTGTTGGCAGATGTGACAGACAGTCCCGTGCTGAGAAAGGTGACAAGTGACAAGAACAGGAAGAGAAGCTGGAGAAAGAATTGGGGGGGGGGGGGGTGAATGGAAAAGAGTAGAGGGCCTGGAGGAGCAACGGCACTGCTTCGGGCTGGGGGACTAGTGTGGGGCCTGTGGCACTGCAGAGCCTGGCCCCGACCTCCCTGCGCACATGCCACCCAGCCTGCTGCTTTTAAAGAAGAGAGAGTGCCTTCCGAACCAGTCAAAATAAAGAGCTCCCAGTTCTTAAAGCTTTACACTTAAGTTTCCTGCAGACTCCATTCCTGTCCTGATAATGCCAGGGAAGGGAGGACGAGGGCGAGTCTAAACAGTTGCAAACAGGACTTCCTGTTTCAGCTACAGGCTGTACAGAGTTGAGCTTTCTCAGGTCCAGTTGTTGCTTTGCTCTTACTGTAGCATTTCTCCGCCACCTTAACTAAGGTTGGCGTTTGGTATGTGTCTGGCTTGGTATTTACAACCTGTTTTTAAAGAGAATATTTTTATGTGTCTCTTTCATCCTTGGACATTTAAGTGTAGACGTGTATTAATTAGACTCCCCTCCTGCCAGCGGTGAAGGGGTGGCTGAGCACAGTGGAACCCGGCTATGGTTCCTGTGTCCCATGCTTTCTGAGTGTCCCCGTGCTTGAGGGTACACTAGGCCTAGGTCACCATCCTATTTCCACAACCATGGAGTTATTTAGGATTACATCTCTTAGAATAGTTGTTTGTTTGTTTTTCCTGAACCAAAATGACCTCTAGAATAGTAAGTGATAGCAGAGTGTTTTCTGTGTACCAGATACTGTTGTCAGTTCTTTGTATACATCATTTCATGTAATTCTCACCACCACCCTCCCCATGAAGAAGTTTCTCTTATCCCTTTGACAGATGAGGAAACTGAGGTGCAAAGAAGTCAAGTGAGCTTCTCAAGGCCGCAGCTAGTGGTGCAGAGCTGAGACCGAAGCCTGGGTAGTCAGCTCCAGAGGCCACAGTCCTGACAGATCCTCTGCTGCCTCCAGTAACAGCTAGCAATGACGTCGGGGGCTTTCATGTAACAACGCATTTATTTGTCACAGCAACTCTAGGCAGTAGGGTCCCTCAGGTTCCCGAATTTGACAATTCAGGAACCGGAGGTCCCAAGAGATAAAGGAACTTGCCCCAGGTCAACCTGCTGGCCAGTGGTGGAGGGACCTTCCAACCCAGGCCGTTGGCCTCCAGATCCCGGTTTCTTAACCACAGGGTACCGCCTGGAGCTGGGCTAAGGTGCTGCCCCTCGGCCCTGCATACCGACCATGTGCGGACTGCTTCCTTGTTCTGTTTGTCCTGGGAAGGGTATTGATGACTTAACCAGCATGCTCCTGGGTGTGAGTCACTGGGCTTGCAGCCTGGCAAGGATATAGATGAATCCATGGTTTGTTCATTAAAATACGTTTTGAGGCTGTTGGGCCTCAACTGTTTGCATAATGGCTTTTCTGAATAGCTAAATTATTGTAATATACTCAAGTTGGTTGATTGAAATTTCAGCGTTCTTCTTCTATCCTTCCCTTCAGAGTTTCTTCTCAAAACCCATCGAGTGATAGGCTTAAAAAGGAAAGATTTTGGTGAGGGGGCCAATGGAGTGAGTGTGAGGGAGTGATGGGCTGCCTTTCTGCCCCTGACCTTGTGGGTTCAAATCCCACCTCCACGTCCTGCTGACTGGGACCTCAGCAGGAGCTGCCCTCCCCGCAGCCTTCATTTTCTCCATATGTAAAATGGGCTGATAGTACCTGCCTCACAGGGAGGCGCCTGGCCTGGTACCAAGTAGCTGCTTAGGGAATGCCAGCCCCTCCTGCCCTTTCGTTCAGTTGGTTGGGCTCTGAACGAGAGGAGGGGAGATTTTACAAGGATCTTCAGGGATAATGGTAGTATGAAAACAGATTTTTTTTTTAAAAGAAAAAGTAAGGAAAGGGGTAAAAGCGTAACTGTTACTACTGATAACGTTCATGATTGAGTTCTGTGCTTGCTGCACTGTTCCGAGCACTTCGTGACTTTATCTGTGCCTCCCAGCAGTCCCGTGGGTATTGTCTGATTTACAGATGAGGACATTGAGGCTGGAGCGTTCCTTAGTCTGCCCACAGTCATCTGCCCAGGAAGAGAGGGAGCCGGGATTTGAACCCAGGATGATAAGCACCCGGCCGGCATGTTGAACCATGGCAGAAGAGGTTATTTTTATACAGATTATGAGAAAAATAAAATCATAACTAAAATGAGAATGGACTGAGAGATTGAAAGTCCCTTTCCACTGCCCAGAAGCTCATTTTTAATTCTCAAGTGGAACTCTGGGCATGAGTTAAACAGGTAGCAACATTTGTAACACTGAACTATTTTCAGTCTTAATGGCCTGCTGTACTGTGACTATATGAGTGTTTATAGATAGAAGGAGTATTTATAAAACCCTTGGCCTCCCAGATGCTGTTTATCCCGCCCCCTGCATGTGCTAATTGTCACCTGGGTTCTGTAAAAGGTGGGATTGTGGGTGCTGGCTTCCTCCCATCTCCGCCGCATGGCTGAAGGACAACTGGAGGTGTTTCTTCATTTTCTGCTCACCCAGGTTCTCTCCATTTGTGGTCATTCTGCCCCAGGCCCACAGTGAGGCGCACTGAGAGCTCGCCTCCCCACTTTTCTTTCCAGTGCTGTTTTATTAACTCTTATGGGGCCTGCGTGGGAGGGAGAGGTGCTCAGTGGGGAGGGTAATGTCGGCTCCAGTGGTTCTGGAGCACTCAGGCCCTAATGGGGACACCGGCTTTCCAGCTGGCGGAGCAGGAAGGAAGGCGCACGTGACTGGAGTGGTGTGGCCTGGGGGACAGCTGTGCCACGGGCACCTGCCTGGAGCTACTTCGGCCAGTTCATGGACGTAGAGGGCAAAGGCAGAGCCACAAAAATCAATCAATCAATAACAAAGAAAAGACAACATTGGGAGAAAAAAGTTAAATTTTGCAATTCAGTGGTCGATAGTTTATCATATTAGGGAAAAAGAACATGGAGGAAACCGGAGTAAAACCAGGAAGAGCGCGCAGAAGTGGGAGGAATCAACAGCATTGAACACCTGCC